ATTTTAACAGGGAGATAACTAGTTAACAACATTTGCATGTTGCAAAGCGTCTTAATTAGTATAATAATTCAGAAATCCTGTTTTTAGCAGGTTCCCTGCATAGCTGCACTGTACTGAGTACAATCTGTGCACTAAAGATAACGTGTTTGCAGTTTAAAATCTCCAGAGACTTTAGACCCATACATAAAGATACTTATTTCACTCTTTTCTGAGACACTGACCTGTATCCTCATTTAAAAATGAACACCACATCTTTATGTTATTAAATCTTTGTTTTGATCTATTAGTATTCACCAAAGTGCCATTTTATACAACCCCGCACTGAATAGGCAAGGCTGGAGGTAACCATCTGCAGCTTTAGAGCCTGCGTTTGAACTGATGAAAAGAGCTTTGTGTTTTCATTGCCAAGTTTGATTCTTCCAGTCATTAGACATTCCCGTCAGATCGCATCAATGAAGCGGACTCTCTTACACCCATGTGTTAAAATTCTCCTCTCCTCATGGTTTCCTTTGCCAGCTATACTCCAGAAAGACTACTGGGTCTTAGTCACATTCTTCTCACAGCTGTGTTAAAAAAGAGCATCAGAGCGCCTTCCCAAAATCCATATGTGTCCCTAGTCAGTCCCCTGTCGGAGGGTCACCTCACATTGTGGTGTGATTATTCAAATATTCATTCTTGTTCTTAAACTGAACTGTTCAGATCATTCTGGGAAAGATTAGACCCTCCAGCCAGCACTGGAGAACGTCTTGGACATGGATATGAAATTCATGCAGCTCCTGTACTCAGAAGGCAGATTAGTTTTACTTGCAGAAGAGGGGCACTTTAACCACTTAATAAATGCTTGCTGCTTCTTTCTTTCAGTTTTTTGTATTCTTTCCAACTGTGTCGACTGCTGGGAAAAAATGTTTGTTTTTGTTGTGTCATCAATTGACCTATTTATCAGCATCAGATAAGAAACTAAATGAACAACTACAAAAGCAGAGAAAGCATGTTCTGAAATGCTTGAGGGAAAACCAGGACTATTCAAAAAAAGGGTGTGTTCCAGTAACAATGAATGTTATATGGCCAAAAAAATCACACTTGAAGAGGTAAAGCAAATGTCATTAAGGGTAATATTTCTTTTATGACAAATAGTAATTTCCTTTGATAAAACTATCTATCTGCTTATTCAGAAGATCGCTTAGTTTTCTTATGTATTCAATCCACTGAAATATTTTATCCAAATCTGTAACACTCCTAACTTCCTCCTTAAAAGAAAAAAACCCAAATCAAAAGGTCTCTCTAATAAACAGTTAAGGATAAATGAAGTAAAAATTTCTGTATTACATCACTTTTAGATTTGCTTTGTTCATTATCAGAACTACCTCAACAAAGTGCACAAGCAGCATGTTTCTCAACATTCATGCTTATTTTCATACCTGTATATTTTAGCATTGCACTATTACTTTGTGGATTTGTGTTTACTTTTAGAGGATTACATAGAAATTCTACATGCACACCCTCTGCTGCCACCTTACACAGCTATGTGAGTGTGCAAGTGTGACTGTGCTCACACACAGAGAGCTATGCTTTACTGAGCTAGAATCATTAAATTGTGAGGAAAATATAGAAGCCTCAATAGCCAAACTGCATTAAATTTCACTCCAACTGCAAAGATGTTGCAGAAAAATAGAACATTTCTTGGAAAAAACACATCAAAAGTGGCCTCAACCTTTACTGATAATTGGCTAATATTGATTTGGTATTACGTTATAACCTCCTCTGATCTCAGTAACATCAGTAGCCACTTCTCAATCCCAGAGGTTCCAGCAGGAAGGACAGTTTTAAAATGTCTTGCTTCCTCTGCTGGCAGAGGCATTAATTAATTCAGAGGCTTTTCCAGCCACCTTCTCCAGGTCAGTCCCATTTCCCTGCTGGGGCTGCACCAGCTGGCTCCTAGCTTCTCCAGCAGGACAAATTTGCAGGGGGCCTGTGGCGCTGTGCCAGCACTCCTGGTGAATTCTGTGCCACTGTCCTAATTCTTTGTTTGTAACTATGAATTAGAAACATTGTTAAATATAGAAAATTGTAGTTATAGCCATTCTACACAGTATAGGTTAAAATAGTCTCATGCTTATCATCAAAATTTCCTATTGAATAAATATATACTGTGTTATTTATGCACATACATGTATTTATTTACATACACCATACAGTTAAAATGCATATTTGCTTTATAAAGTAATCAGGCTCTCTTAAAAGTCTAATGTGTATCTTGATAATGTTTCAAAATCAGAATAGATTCAAACAAATGCTGCTAAATCTGTGTGGTCACTCTCTGTGCACCAACATTTTGTGTTTCGTATCACCACCCGTGCTAGGGTGGTGAATCATCTTCACAGGCAAGAGCACATAGTTGCAATTTATATCTCACACCGCAGTGAGCTGATTTGAGCCTTTCACCCTACTTCAGGATAAAGACTTTTACTATATCCATGTTCACTATAAGCAGATTCCAATATATCCCCCTTCTGGTTCACAGCTGCTGTTTCATGTGGGATAGGATCCAGAAATTTTTTAGATGCTTTGTGTCTTGTTGCAAAACACAAGGACCACTATTCTGACTTGGATCTCACGTTTAGAAAGCAACAATTGGAGGTGGGTACACAAATGGCTGACACAAGGGCAATGCTGTGGAGAAACTACATCTGTATTTCAGGCTCAGCATATGATGCTGAATGCAAACACTGAAGTTTTTAAGAATGCTAAAAGATTCTTCAGTGTTGCCAGAGAACAGATTAGCAAAGGCATAGTGAACACTAGTAAATTACATGGTATGAAGCTACATAGTACATCCTTTCCCAACACTAATTGTTCTAATTGTGTTGCTTCTTAATGAAGCTTATAATTATTTCTCTTCTGATTTTTAACTGATGCTACAGTTAAAAACTATTACATTACTCAGATATTTTACTGAATAATACCAAGAGACTACTTTTATAGCTGTTAAAATACTTCCCTCATATGTCAGAATTCAATTTTAGTTGAGCATCTAAAGGAAGTCAAGAAAACAGACTTTTCAGAACCCTATTTAGGATATGAATCGTAATGTCATATTTTAAATTACAATAAACATCTTCTTAAGACAGTTCTAATAATTACTACTACTGTAATTAATACCAAGAAGGCTTTCTGTTGACAGGTTTATAAATTGTCAGTTCCTTTTTGAAATGTAGAACATCCTACATCTTCAAAATAAAAAGCTAAGCTAACAAATGAGTTCCTGCCTAATTGCCAAACACTGATTTGTATGAAGCAGTTGAGGTTACAAAGAAATGGGGAATTCTCAGCCTGGTTTCCCTGCTGATGAGTACGAACTGTCTGTGTAGCTCTCCCAGAGGTGTCAGAGGAATCTCTATAGTGTCACACAAGGGTTTTTAGCTCAAAGTAAACACACTTTCCACAAACTCAGCTGCTTAATCTGTTTGCAGGTTGAATTATAAGATGGGGGTGGATGACTCCGGGTGCTGGGAAGACGCACAGAGCATTTCCACAGTTTCTTGGTAAAAAGGGCGTGCTATTGTCATCAAAAGACTTCACCCAATTGTTTAATTTTGCTACAGGCTCAGTGGTCTGATCTTAGCAATAATGAAAACTAACCCAACCAAAATTCTCCCAAGTAGTTGAGCGTGTTAAATTGCATAAATTCTTTTCAGTATAGCAGTGCATCACCACCACTTTAATTCAGGTTGTGGCTTCACTTCTACTCTGACCACCCTGGTTACACAGGATTAAACAAGACTGTTCCACTAAGAAAACACAAAACCAAAACTAACCTTCACTTAAACATCTATGGTTAGTAAAGGTTTATAAATAAAATGAAATTAAATAACAACTTTAAACAATGTACAGAAAGGTTCAGCCAATATTCTCTTTTACATGCTGTAATTATTTTTATAGGTTAATTTTTATCAAGCATGCACCTCTTGAAATGTCAAATATATCTAAGTGTTTAGAAGAGAGATTTGAATGATTCTCAAACAAACACTGGAGGTTTTAAAGAGATAACTGAATATATATCTTAACTATATTTTATGTAGTTACAAACAAATTGAAAATATAAAAATATACTTTCTTAATTTAATAGGTGACCTCTGGATGCATTTTTTATACAGAAGAAATCATGTTAAGTCTTTGCAATGTATTATTAACCAATTTCTGCTACTCTGGAAATATGACGTAGACATTAAAGTTGAAGACAAATATGGACAGACAGGATAATTTGCATCAGTTCAGCATCAATCACCTTGGAAGGGGGTGAGAGGCATTTTGCAGCTGATGAATGTGATGCAAAGATGAGAAGTGCCAGACTGTGAAGAGGCTCTGCCTACACATTTATCTATGTCCCAGCAATCAGACTTCCAAAGGCTTATGTGCTAGTAATAACAAACATGACAAGGATTTCAGTAGACATGAACTTCGGGTTTTGGAATTCAGTAACCTTTTAACAGGAAATCTTATGATGGGAAAGAATACAATCCCTGTTCACTGACTCAGAGACTTCCTGTTGGTTTCAGTGAGATTTTGAATCCACCCCTAAACAACCTCATCAGTATTTACCATGGCATGAAACCTGCCAGATGTGTAACAGAGTGAAAAGGAGAACCTTAATATCCTACCATGCAATTATAAAGGCAAATAGTCTGTTGCCATAGCATTGTCATGGGGTAAAAAGACAGTGAAAACCATTCATAGGAGATAGAAGCACTTTGTGCCTTGCACATGTAGAAAGCATTTTCCATAATAGTAATTACAGGCACACTGACTTATGTAATGCCTTAAAACTGTTAAAATGACTGGCTTCACACTAAGTAGGTAACAAGCTGAATGGCTGTCAAATAAGGAATCATTTTGAAGTACCTTTTCTGAGTACCGACACACTTTCAGTCACAGACAAAATACCAGAAGAAATGTTTGACTGGTTTTCAACTTCAATTTTTTCTTGAAAGAAGGCAAGTGACTTACTTCTGAACTTTTTCGTTAGCCTCCTGTGAAGCCTCCAAGGCCTTCTGGAACTTCAGCTCTGTGTCCTTTTGCTCTGATCGAGCTTGCTGCAGCTGAGCTGCCAGATCTTCAATCTGACAATAGGTGAGGGTCACAACATCTGCTCTGCCTTGCAGTCCACCTTCAGAAGTACCGTAAATGCAGTTAAGCTGGTCCTGCAAACTCATTCCTTCAGACAAAGATTTGGATAAGCTGGGAAAACAAAGCCATACACGTTATTAAGTTTCGATCTAAGGCTGAGCTGCAAGAACACTACATTCGGTTTAATTGGTATTTTTAGTATTATCATATATGGACCCACAAGCATTAATACCAAGTTTTATTTCAAAAGTGACAGAGAACAAAAAGAACATCACGTTTCCACAAGGCTCTACTTGAAGCATGTGACAACCATCAGAATTTTAAAAAACCTATTCAACAAAACTTAAAAAGCAGTACCTTTTTAGCTGCATCTTCTTGATCATCTTTGAGCTCCAGCAAAAGTTGTTAGTGTGATTTACATGAAGTTGAATTAATCTGTGTAAGTCACTGGCGTGTTATCAACTCGTGTTACACAGAACTCTCTTTCAGCAAGCACACTCAGCAGCTATAGGGTTTATTTGCAAAATTGCAGGTTTTTCAATATAATGAATAAAAATGCTAAAATGCTAAAATGCCTGGATCAGCTAACAATGGCTATGGAAAATAAGCAAAAAGAAGAATATTGTCAGGTTACCTATAAATAATGAAAAGAAATTGAAAAAAGGAGAATAAAGTAGATTGTCCATCAGGTAAAAATAGTCTCAACAATGCCCGCTGACTGTGGGATTATTTCCCAAGGAATCAGTAGGTAGGTAACTGCTTGAGTTATTACGGTGCAATGGTAGAAATCACATTAACAACTGATTACTAGGGAAGGAGCCTGCACTAGCAAGCTCTCTATGGAATCAGTAACAATTGCTTCCCACCTCTTCATAGCCATAATTCTTTGGTGAATTTTGCACAGTAGTAGAAGAAATTCATTAAGACATAACGAAAGCGATGGCAACAGGAAATCTAATGAGCAGTGTTCTTAGATAAATAATTGAAGTAATTTCAAATCAACTTTATGAATATCAAAAGCTGTTGCTGTATTGATGAATATGACTCAATATCATCCTTCTGACTGATGACTATGCAAATATCAAACATTTCAATGTGGACTTCTAATAACAATGAACACTGATTACAATACTCAAGATAGTCTGTATGATGGCTGCTAGTATGCAATAGCATTATTTCTTCCTTTCCAGTTTATTAAGGTGTTTGTACAGAAAGCACCCTTTATTCCAACAGCCCATAGAGGAAAATCATATCGAAACTAAAATATAATATACATGGACAATCAAAATTTGGCTTAACTAATAGAAATCTAGAAGCTAAATGGTCAGACTGTTGATATGTCATTATGCCTACTACCTGCAGTTGTCTGAAAATATTGTGAAGAACCTTTCCAGTTAAATGAAGACATATTGAAAACATAAATATTTATAAAGGGATATTAACATCCCTGGAACAGACTCATTAAAAATAAAATTACTTTAACAGCTGCACATAAATTTTACTGAATGAAGTTCCCCTATGGCTGAGCATTGATCACCATGGAAAAATACAAAGGTATGCAAATAACACTGAAAGCAGGCTACCAAAATACCACTGCTGCCCGCTTCTTAACCACCTGGCACAAGATTAAAAGAAAAAAAAAAAGACATTTGAGAAGCTAAACTGTCCAGTGTTCAGTGTGGGTGCCCGGTTAAAAATAAAGAAAAAAAGAGGAAAGCTCAAATATTCAAAGTTTTTCACACCGGCAGAGTTCGTTTTTTCTTTTTTTTTTTTGTGTGTGTTTTTTTTGTTTGTTCCTCCCC